AGCCGCGAGCTTACAACCCGAAGCCTGCGCGCTAAACCCTGAAGCCCTAAACCCTGCACCCTAAACCCTAAACCCTAAACCCTAAACCCTAAACCCTAAACCCTAAACCCTAAACCCCCAACATTTGAAACCCTGGACCATCTCTCATCCTCTGAAAGATTGCTTTACTTGGGTTTGCGGATTAGAGGTTAGGGGTATAGGGTTTGGGGGTTTGGGGTCTCGATTTAGAGCCTGAATCCCTGAACCCTCAGATGTTTGGAAGAGTGGAGGGTTTCTGATGGGGTTGCGCGCCTTTCGTGGCCCTGAAGCTCGAAGGGTTTCATGGTTTAGGGTCTTGGATTCTGTGCGAATTACATGCGGGTACACCTACTTCTCGAATTCCCTTCTACGAGCCAGTCAATATGGGTTTAGGGTTTAGGGTTTTGGTTTTAGGGTGGTAGCACAAGGTGAGGTTCCTAGGGTTTACAGGGTGTTAGGGTCACTGCAGACTTCTAGAGTCCCCGAAATCCTAAACCCTAAACCCTAAACCCTAGACCCTAAACCCTAAACCCTAAACCCTAGACCCTAAACCCTAAACCCTAAACCCTAAACCCTAAACCCTAAACCCTAAACCCTAAACCCTAAACCCTAAACCCTAAACCCTAAACCCTTAACCCAATTCAGGTCGGTTTGACTGCGGCGTGGTGCATTTTGGCGACGATCCTGTCCCCAACGAGCTACTTGCCCTACGGCACGGTGCGGGCCTGAGGAGGGAAGGTTTAGGGTTTAGGGTTTAAGGCTCTAGGGTTTAGGGTTTAGGTTTTAGGGTTTAGGGTTTAGGGTTTAGGGTTTGGGACTAGGACATGGGGGCTTACGATATTCGGGGTGGGGATCCTATTATTTCGGGGGGTCTATGTTAATGAGGGGTCCCTTATTATCGTAAACCTTCATGGGTTTTGGGTATAGGGAAACCAAAGGGAACCTGAAAGTTAATATTGGGAGTAGTTGTGAGCCTAACAGCCTAAAGCCGCACAACCACCCCCAAACGTCGCGCCCGAAAACCCTCTCCCATCCTGGTTTTGGCGGCTTGGAAAGGGTTTGGCAGCTGATGCTCATGATGCTGCCTGGTTTTCGGCGGCTTGGAAAGGGCTTGGCAGCTGATGCTCATGATGTTCCCTGGTTTTCGGCGGCTTGGAAAGGGCTTGGCAGCTGATGCTCATGATGCTCCCTGGTTTTCGGCGGCTTGGAAAGGGCAGCTGATGCTCATGATGCTCCCTGGTTTTCGGCGGCTTGGAAAGGGCTTGGCAGCTGCTCATGATGCTCCCTGGTTTTGGCGGCTTGGAAAGCGCTTGGCAGCTGATGCTCATGATGCTCCCTGGTTTTCGGCGGCTTGGAAAGGGCTTGGCAGCTGATGCTCATGATGCTCCCTGGTTCTCGGCGGCTTGGAAAGGGCTTGGCAGCTGATGCTCATGATGCTCCCTGGTTTTCGGCGGCTTGGAAAGGGCTTGGCAGCTGATGCTCATGATGCTCCCTGGTTTTCGGCGGCTTGGAAAGGGCTTGGCAGCTGATGCTCATGATGCTCCCTGGTTGGCAGCTGATGCTCATGATGCGGCTTGGAAAGGGCTTGGCAGCTGATGCTCATGATGCTCCCTGGTTTTCGGCGGCTTGGAAAGGGCTTGGCAGCTGATGCTCATGATGCTCCCTGGTTTTCGGCGGCTTGGAAAGGGCTTGGCAGCTGATGCTCATGATGCTCCCTGGTTTTGGCGGCTTGGAAAGGGCTTGGCAGCTGATGCTCATGATGCTCCCTGGTTTTGGCGGCTTGGAAAGGGCTTGGCAGCTGATGCTCATGATGCTCCCTGGTTTTCGGCAGGCTTGGAAAGGGCTCGGCAGCTGATGCTCATGATGCTCCCTGGTTTTGGCGGCTTGGAAAGGGCTTGGCAGCTGATGCTCATGATGCTCCCTGGTTTCGGCGGCTTGGAAAGGGCTTGGCAGCTGATGCTCATGATGCTCCTGGTTTTCGGCGGCTTGGAAAGGGCTTGGCAGCTGATGCTCATGATGCTCCCTGGTTTTCGGCGGCTTGGAAAGGGCTTGGCAGCTGATGCTCATGATGCTCCCTGGTTTTTGGCGGCTTGGAAAGGGCTTGGCAGCTGATGCTCATGATGCTCCCTGGTTTTCGGCGGCTTGGAAAGGGCTTGGCAGCTGATGCTCATGATGCTCCCTGGTTTTCGGCGGCTTGGAAAGGGCTTGGCAGCTGATGCTCATGATGCTCCCTGGTTTTCGGCGGCTTGGAAAGGGCTTGGCAGCTGATGCTCATGATGCTCCCTGGTTTTTGGCGGGCTTGGAAAGGGCTTGGCAGCTGATGCTCATGATGCTCCCTGGTTTTCGGCGGCTTGGAAAGGGCTTGGCAGCTGATGCTCATGATGCTCCCTGGTTTTCGGCGGCTTGGAAAGGGCTTGGCAGCTGATGCTCATGAGCTGCTCATGATGCTCTGGTTTTCGGCGGCTTGGAAAGGGCTTGGCAGCTGATGCTCATGATGCTCCCTGGTTTTCGGCGGCTTGGAAAGGGCTTGGCAGCTGATGCTCATGATGCTCCCTGGTTTTCGGCGGCTTGGAAAGGGCTTGGCAGCTGATGCTCATGATGCTCCCTGATTTTCGGCAGCTTAGGGGCGGGCTGGTGTGGGGGCTGTGGGGGGTGTTGGGGGCAGGCCTTTTCTTCCTCCATATCCTCACCTGGTCTCTCTTCGCACTTTCGAGGTGGAGGATCTCCTGGAAGTAGCTCGAACAGCTCCTGCGTGGGGGGCCGAAAGGAGGGGGGGGGGGGGTTTGGAAAGGACCCCTGCTGAACCGCCTATGGTCGATGCGTTTACGTCGTGCGGGTGGCGCGGTCCTCCATGAAAAAATTGTGCACCGACCCCCCACCCCCCCCCCCCCCCCCCCCCCTCCGCGTTTTTGGGGGAGGGTTCCCTCCCCAAAACATCCAACACTTCGCCAGGGTCGGCGGACCTAGCCCTAAACCCCAAACCTCAAGCCCGAAACCCGAAACCCTCAAGCCCTAAACCGCAAAGCGCGCGAAATCCCCAAACCTGAGGCAGTGATCGTCTTCTGCCTGGTCATCCTCAGCTTGTGGAAGGATGCTGGCGGTTGAGGGTTTAGGGACAGAGGGTTTATAGGGTTTGGGGTTTAGGGTTTAGGGATATAGGGTTTATAGGGTTTATAGGGTTTGGGGTCTTTAAGGGTTGAAGGGCAAACCCTACACCACTTGTATTTCGCATGCGTGTTTTTGCTGGTTCGGCTTCCTACGGGCGAATGGGGGAATCGCGCTCGTGTCGGAAAATGTGAGGCGTTTTTGGTTGGGATTGGAAGAAACCTGAAGCCCTAAACCCTAAACCCTAAACCCTCAACCCTAAACCCTAAACAAGGCTTAGGGGTCGCAGCCCACAGGAGCTGACGGCCACCGCCGCGTCCATGCGAAAGAAGGTTCCTTGGGGACCAAAGGAGCCTTAAACTTGGGGTGCATATACCCTCTGCTACTAGAATTCTGATTTTGGTAGTATGAACAGCCCTTTCCCCTAAACCCTAAAACCTAAACCCTAAACCCTAAACCCTAGGGATCATTTCGCTCTTCCAAGGTCTTTGGCATGGTGGATGAGAAGCTGCAGGGCTGCTTGAAGGCTGTTAAGGATGAGCCCCGGCTGGACTTAGGGTTTAGGGTTTAGGGTTTAGGGTTTAGGGTTTAGGGTCTAGGGTCTAGGGTTTAGGGTTTAGGGTTTAGGGTTTAGGGTTTAGGGTTCTGGGTTCAGGTTTCAGGGTTCAGGGTTCAGGGTTCAGGGTTTAGGGTTAGGGTTGAAGGCTGTTAAGGAGAACCGCGGCTGGCCTTAGGGCTCAGGGTTCACCCTTCAGGCTTTTGGGGTGTATGGTTTCGATTTTTCGGGTTTAGGGGTTTGGGGGTTTGGGGGTTTAGGGGTTTAGGGGTTTAGGGGTTTAGGGTTTTAGGGGTTTAGGGGTTTTGGGGTTTTGGGGTTTTAGGTGTTTTGGGGTTTTGGGGTTTAGCGGTTTAGGGGTTTAGGGGTTTAGGGTTTTAGGGGTTTAGGGATTTAGGGGTTTAGTTTTTTTTTTGTTTCGGGTTTAGGGGGTTTGGGGTGAAGGCTGTTGAGGAGGAGCCTATCTCGTCTTGTTGGCGGTGGATCTCTCATGGAGGCTGATTCAAAACATCTACTGTAACTATCGAGTGCAAATCAGGTTTGAACGAACCCTTCTTCTGATGCACCCTGTCGGTGCTTTGATGTTTAGGGGATTGGGGTTAACCCTGGAAAAATGTATGTGCTTTTTAGGTATAAGTAGCTAGGAACTCAGAACCACAAATGTAGTCACGTATACTCCCAAACCCAGCTACACAGCCTGGCCTGGGCCCTACTTACCAACCTCTCCTTGTAGAGGCTTCCCCAAGACCCAAACCCTCAAGCCTCAACCCAAAGCCTTTGTTGCCCTTGCCCTTGTTGTGGAGAAGACAATAGCTCTTCTCGTTGAACCTCAACCCTAAACCCTAAACCCTAAACCCTAAACCCTAAGCCCTAAACCCCAAACCCTAAACCCTAAACCCTAAACCTCTGTACACAATCGGGCCCGAACGGCAGTCTCTCCTTCTGTCTGGCTCAAACGCAGCATCCTTTCTTTACCACACCAACCCTACAACCCTAAACCCTAAACCCTAAACCCTAAACCCTAAATCACCACCTCGATCCAGAAGATGACAACACCACCAAAGGGACCAGTCCATTCACCACATCGATCCACCAGATGGAAAGCTCATTTTACTTGGTAGCCCAGTGGTACTTAGGGTTTAGGGTTTAGGGTTTAGGGTTTAGGGTTTAGGGTTTAGGGTTTAGGGTTTAGGGTTTAGGGTGTAGGGTTTAGGGTTTAGGGTTTCCTTTTCACTTGTTTTGGTTCAGGGTTCCCCTTATGAAGTAGCTAAGGTAGCTAAGGCTTACATGTCTTGAGCTTTCTAGCCTCCAAAGCTAGCAGTGCCGTCGTAGTCAAGCAGCGATCGGGATGGAAGCCCTGCGCCTTCGCTCGTCACCGCTGCACCACCTTGGGCTGGGAGTCTGGCGGCAGCTTCGCCAAGCCAGCTCGCGTTGCTATGTGCTGGCGCTGTTTTTGGAGATGGCCGAAGGCATGACGTTCTTGTGGCCTGGTGGTGGGAGAAGCTACACATCTTCATTATTCCGCCGCCTCGCCATGGACCTGGTACATTGCCACGTTGCAGATGTTGCGAAGCGTTTGCCCAAGTGTTCTCGGAGGGTGGTCGACATTCCTCACATGTGCGGTGGTGCGGCCCCCGACGGTCGCTACAAGAAGCAGGTGGCCTCGCTAGCCGCCCAGTTCGGCTTCTCACTGGCTCGGCAGAAGAAGCACACCATCCTGAAGCGAGTGGTCGACTACGACGGTGCGCACCACCAGCAGACCCTTACGGCTTGGAAAACGCCTTCAAATCAACAGGAGACCAAGCGGTTAGAAGCTAGAGTGCGGAGAATGGATGACCCCGAGCTGTTCGATGCGGACAAGCTTCGGGCCATGGCCGCGCGGGTAAGCCGCAGCGCGACTGGTGCAACTGGCATGTCCCCGCCGGTCGCTGGGAGGAGAGCCCGCACCAAGCCGAGGCGTCGAGATCTCCAGCGTACCGACGCATCAGGCCTCTCGCACAGTCAGTCGCCCGACATCCTTGCAGACTACCAGAGCTCAGTTTGCAACGATGCGTTGCAGTGCTTGCCGCTAGACATGCCGACCTCGCACTTGTTGCCCTCGCGCGCTTGCGCTGGTGCCTCGTCAACTTCTACTCGAGTTTTGCCACAGCGGAGGCGCCGGCGCAACAGATGGTGGAACAAGTAGGTTGTCCTTTCGTGGCCGTTCGTATCGTGGTCTTTCGGTTGCCGGTCGCAGGTTTGAGTCGAGCAGCATGTGACGTGGACCTTTGCTTGGTCTGACAGTGGTACCGCAAAGGCGGGTCTGAGGTGAGACCAGCCTGCAAAATGCTCATTGTCCCTGCGGAGCCAAATGAACCCTAAATTGGGACCATATGCCCTATCCTATCATCGTAGACCAGTGCTAGGCCGCACAGTCGGAGAAATGCTAGGACCCAGAGTAGGCCCCCCGTTTTAGGGTTCAGGTTCCCTTAAACCCAACAGGGCACGCTTACTCCTGGGCCTGGAAACCCCCCTGAACCCTAAACCCTACACCCTAAACATCCCTAAACCCTACACCCTAAACCCTAAACCCCGGTAGCCACCGTGAGCCCTCCGCCGCGCCCTTACTTAGCCATAACCCTAAACCCTAAGCCCCAAACCCTAAACCGTAAACCCTAAACCCTAAACCCTAAACCCTAAAACCTAAACCCTAAACCCTAAACCCTAAACCCTCCCCGGTGCTGCAGGAGATGGAGCTGCAAACGCACAACCAAGCCATGCTCTCCGGGCTGCGCAAGCTCAAGGCCGAAAACAAGACCGTCGCAAAGAAGGCCAGGGGGGCGCGCTGACTCTTTAGGGTTTAGGGTTTAGGGTTTAGGGTTTACGGTTAGCCCCAAGCCCCAACCCCTAAATTTCTCAACCCCTAAACCCTAAACGCCCTACCCCCAAAATGCTGGAAGCCCTAAACCCTGAGCATATTTTGGGCTTGAAAGCTCAGAGTTCAGGGCACCTTCGGCCCCTCAGCCAGCCCCGTGGCCAACGAATGTCTTTCGAGGGGCGTCTTAACTTGGGTTTAGGGTTTAGGGTTTAGGGTTTAGGGTTTAGGGTTTAGGGTTTAGGGCTTAGGGTTTAGGGTTTAGGGTTTAGGGTTTAGGGTTTAGGGCTTAGGGCTTAGGGTTTAGGGTTTAGGGTTTAGGGTTTAGGGTTTAGGGTTTAGGGTTTAGGGAGTTTAGTAGGGTTTCGGGATTTGAGCTAAATCTGAAGCCTAAACCCCTTTCTGAACTCAGGCATGTTCCTGAATTCAGCGGCAGCGGGTTTTCTGTGAAATCCTACAACCTCCCGAAGCCCTTAAACCGTAATCTCCCGACAGATGAATATAGGTGTCGGAAGAGTTACGAATATAGGTGTCGGAAGAGTTACGACTAGTGTTCCCTTAAGTTTCCTGTATACTTGCACTATAAGAATCCCAACGCCCTATTCTAATGATAAAGGCCCCTATATAATCCCTCAATCCTAAACCCTAACTCCCTATAATACCCCAAACTCCCTAAAGCCCTAAACCCTACACCCTAAATCCTAAACCCCAAAGCCTAAAGCCTGCACCCTAAACCCGAAACCCTAACCCCCTATATTAATACCCAACACTCCCTAGAGCGACAAGCCCTGAGCTCTCAACCCTAAACCCTATACCCTCGACCTGACAGGTGGACGAATCGCAATCAGGGTTCGATGCGTATCAGGAAGAGAAGAAGAAGAGGAAGGTGCATGCATGGTTGCGGTTGGGGTTTCAGGGTTCTTGTGTTTTAGAGTTTAGAGATTGGGTTTTGGGGTTTTTAAGGGTTGTCGGGTTGTAGGGTTTAGGGTTTCAGGTTTAGGGTTCAGGGATCAGTTTTCGATAAGTTTGGGTGTTAGGTGTTAGGGTTTTCTACAGTTTGTGCTTCGGGGGCTTCGGGCTTCCGGGTTTCGTGTGCGTGGGGTTTCGGGTTAAGGTGTGCCCTGCCGCTCCCCCCCTCCCCCGCCCACTTGGAGGTTCATGGGTAGTTCTAAGCAGGGTTGCAAGTATCCTAAATATATGGCTATAAGTTTAGTTATCAGTTACCATACTTATAGCCCTACTTCTAACTACCCATGAACCTTCAGGCGCACGCGATGGCAGAGCGAAAGTGGGTGTTACGGGAACCAGGATACTACGAAGCTGTGTTGTTTTTCCTGATCCCCCTTGTCCGTCTCGAAGAGGCAGTTTGGGGTTTCGGGGTGTAGGGTTGAGGGTAGGGATGGCTAGGGTTTAGGGTTTAGGGTTTGGGTTTCGGGTTTAGGGTTTAGGGTTTAGGGTTCAGGGTTCAGGGTTCAGGGTTTAGGCTTCATGGTTTAGGGTAAGCACTTACACCTACTTGCAGGGACATCAATCCCTCAATACCCCCAGCCCTAAACCCTAAACCCCAAACCCCAACCCCCAAACCCTAGCCATCCCTAAGTTAGGCTCCCCGAGCTTCAGGAACAGCTGTACCTAGACCCGAAACCCTAAACTCCATGGTTGTACCGTTGTCCCCTTCTTTTAGTTCAAGGCTCCCTTCTAAAGCAACCAACCCAAGAAGGGTTTGCGGGTTCGTGTTGAGGTTTAGGGATTAGGGTCTAGGTTAAGTTATAATAGTATGGAAACCGGGCAACCAAGGCCCAAATCCTCAATCCCTCAATCCCTAAACCTTGTTAGACCCCCTCCGTTAAGGATCCTATACACCCAGGTGACCCCCGGGGACGTCTTTCACACCCTGGATGTAGACTGCACCGGGACGTTGTCGATCGAGGAGTTCAGGCGGGATTTGGTTCTTTTGGAACCCTAGAACCCTAAACTCTGAACTCCGCACCCTAAACCCTAAACCCTGAATCATAAACTTGGCGGCTTTAGAGTTTCGGGTTTTTAAGGGCTTCACAGAATCCAAGTGAGGGCTTTGAGATCAGGGGATCGGGTGGTTTCTGGCTGAGGGTTTAGGGAATCAGGCGTTTCAGGTTTAGACCTGTTACGCTTGAACCCCTGGACACCCGAAAATCGAGGATTTTGGATTTAGCGCCTGTTTTTTCGGAAATAGGGTGTAGGGTCCAAAACCGTAAGCCCCTCAACCCTGGGCTCCTAATCCTGGAAAGCCCTGCCACGAAACCCCTAAGCCCCCTAGGGTTTAGAGTTTAGGGTTTAGGGTTTAGAGTTTAGGGTTTAGGGTTGAGGGTTTAGGGTGGATTTAGAAAGCTCATCTGTGCGTGAGCACGGTGGAGGCGTGGCTGCGAGCATAGCCCTAAAGCACTGCAGTCGTAGAGCTGCTCAGCTGCCAGTCGCGTCGGCCCTAAACCCTAAACCCTAAACCCTAAACCCTAAACCCTAAACCCTAAACCCTGAACCCTGAACCCTGAACCCTAAACCCTAAACCCTAAACCCTAAACCCAATTGCAATCTCAATGGTAGGTATAAGTAGGATTATAAGTACCCTAAATAAGGTTAGAAGTATAGTTGCCCTACTTTATAACCCTACTTATAACTACCCATGAACCTTCAAGTATGCTTAGCCCAGTAGGCCAGGCTTCTCTAGGCCGCGAAGAACCCCCAAGACAAACTACGAAACTCTTCAAGCCCGAAACTCCGAAACCTAAACCCTAAGCCCTAAACCCTAAGCCCTAAACCCTAAACCCTAAACCCTAAACCCTAAACCCTGACCCCCCCCCCCCCCCATTTAAGCGTCCGCCTCAAGCCAGGAAGCTGTTTGCCGCCATGGACTCCAGCATGGACCCCAAGGCAATCGACAAGATGCCTCTCAGCGCATTGACGGGGGGGGGTTTAGAGTTTAGGGTTTAGGGTTTAGGGTTTAGGGTTTAGGGTTTAGGGTTTAGGGTTTAGGGTTTAGGGTTTCGGGTTTGGGGTTTAAGGTTTAGGGTTAGGGTTTAGGTTGCGCTTACAGGATTCATCGGGTGTAAGGTTTACAGGTTTAAAGGGCTTCCTGGGCTCACGGGATTCATAGGGTGTAAGGCTTACAGCGTGTGTAGTTCTTGTACGGGTATAGGGGGCGTCTACGCTTTAGTGGGTTTGTAGGGCTTAAAGGGTTATAGGCTTTTTTACCTGAACACTAAAGCATAAGCCCGTATTCGTTTGCAGGGCTTGTGGGGCTTATTAGTGCTTAAAAGGGTTTTAGAACATGAGGCTTATAGGTTTTAGGTTTCGGGGGTTTGGTTTTTTTTGGGTGGCCTGTTTTGTTTTGAGCGAGTTTAGGGGGTTTAGGTTTATAAGTTTGGGCGCCAGCTGGTGCTTGCTGTGGCGCACCACTTCCTGGTATAGCCCTTTAGCCTCTGAAGCCTCAACCTGAGCCCTTCTGAACCAAGCCCAAACATCTCCCGGTTGTTCTCAAGCCCAAGCTGCCCTAAAGCCTAAACTCGCAATCGAAGGTTTGCCTATGCTGACGCCGATGGCTCTGGTCTGGTGAGTCAGGCAATGCCCGGGCTTCTCTGGGTTGCTTCTCTGGGTTGCGTTTGAAGCTACTGCTTTCATGTGACACATTTCCTGCATCGGACGACCTCCTGATGCAGTATGTTTCAAAGGGTTCTAGGGGGCTACATGCAGCTCACCCCAGGCCACACCTCATGCAGAGTTTAGGGTTTAGGGTTTTGGGTTTTGGGTTAAGGGTTTTGGGTTTAGGGTTTAGGATTTTGGGTTTAGGTCTACTTGCTACTTTGTAAGGCATCGCATCGCACTAGGCCGGTAGCGCCATGTCTACACCTCTTCCTTCTCCGCTTCCCACGGGTCCCTGGAAAGCTGAGGCTTATAGGATGGGTCTAGGAGAAAGAAGGCTTAGCGTTTAGGGCTTCGGGCTCGCTAAGCCTTAGCCCCTAGACCCTAAGCCCTGAGCTCTAAACCCTAAACCCTAAACCCTAAACCCTAAACCCTAAACCCTAAACCCTAAGCCCTAAGCCCTAAGCCCTAAGCCCTAAACCCTTCCGTCAGGACGAGTTCGAGGAGGCTTGGAACTTCTTGGTGGAACATCTCGTGCAGAAGGCGACCCGTTCCCTAAACCCCCTCAAGTAGCCCATAAAATGGTGTAGGGCTTGCGATTCATAATCTTGTGGGTGTAGGGTTTAGGATTTAAGGGTTAAGGGTTTTAGGGTTTTTGGGTGTTAGGGTTTTAGGGTTTTAGGGTTTGAGGGTTTGAGGGTTTGAGGGTTTTAGGG